CTATATTTCATGTTGAATTGAAAGTAAAGGGCTTATTTTTAACTTCTCTACTAATATGCAGCTTACCCTTTAAATTTTGGAAAGATGGGTCCTCATAAGTGTATTTCTTTGATACAGCCTTGGTACCAATAGGTACCTCCTGTGCTTTCTTAAGCTAGTAGAGAAAGACCAATGAGAAATAGCACTTTCTTCTAAGTTCTTGCATTTCTAGATTACTTGCAGCATGTCTGTGACTTACAGAGATGGGGTTTGATGCAGGACCCTTAATAGGGAAATACTTTTTTCCTACCGTAGCTTTTTGGTAATTGAATCATATTGATATTTTGGTCCCTGACTGGTACCACTTTGTGTTGAAACACATGACTTCAGTTAAAGATTGTCATGCGTGTTTCTTCTGTGTCATTTGATCTTTTGCTAGCCCTCCATTAATACCCATAGCTTTTGAAAATGGCTCTGCTAATACTGTAGTATAAGAATGTTCACAAATAGACCTTTTGGTCATGCTGTTGATACCAAGCCATTGCTGTGTTTGTCACTATTATGGGCTGTGGAAATGCTTTCTTTTTTCACATGTATATTGTTTTTATGTTGTTGCGTGATTGTCCCTAATTCTGTATGATGAGCACTCAGCACCAAACTTCTTTTTATAGTGTTGGATAGTAAAGCACCAAAATCTGAAGATATTGATGAAGAAGATGACGATGTTCCAGGTAGGCACATATACATTTATATATGTGTTTAATGTATAAATACTCATGCATTTAAATACTTAGCTCTTGATGACACCCCTCACATGCTAAGGCATGATTCATATACTGGGCAGCACTAAAACATGAGCCTGGATTCCAGGTTTTGAAAAACGTCTGTCTTGTATAAATTGCTTTACTCTTGAGTGAAAATAGGTTAAAATCCTTTCAGTGACACTGAAGAGGTGATCCAAATATCCAAGTAGAGTTTTAGGGCTGCAGAATTACACAATGGACACAATCATTAGGTTGTCTTTAAGTCATTGTCTGGGCTGGGGTTTTTTATTTCTTATGTCAGTATCTGTAAGTTTCTCTAAATAAATATTGCAAGTTCTTAATTTGACAGTGAATAATTGTCTGTCAGTCACCACATTGTGCTGGTGTGGTGTATTAGCTAAAACAACAGATGGGTGGGCCCAGAGATTCAATTACTCATGCTCTGGCACTGGTGTATTCGTTGTGACCTTGCATAAAATTCAGTTCTCAAATTCTCTGCTTCCTGGAGTACAACAGTTAATAGGTGCCTAACTTGGGTGCAGATGGCTCAGGCAGCCAGTAGAGCACCTCTGAAAATCAGGTCTTTATCACCTCATGTTAGAACTTCCACTCTTCTGAGTGCTCCTGCATTTTTAGTTATTTGTGTGTGTTAAACTGTATTTTCTAAAGCCCTTTGAAATCTGCCCATTAAAAATGGTGTACATAAGTATGGTTAAGAGCTACTTAACCTTTCCTATAACATATACATTTTCACTAAACTTACAAAGGTAGTGTTACTGGGAATCACTGCATTAAATATCTTCATCTCTTTCAGATCTCGTAGAAAACTTTGATGAAGCATCAAAGAATGAAGCTAACTAAAACATTCATAGTTCTGGAAGCTGGCATGGACTAGATTTAAGAAATCAGCTATGTGGTTCCAAAGTTTTAAAGAAATGGAGAACATCATCTGTTAATAATTCAGTAATATAAATATTTTGTATTTTTATGATGCTGTTTGTTCAGCATTTTCTGTCAGTTGATTTTGCATTTTGCACTTACTCCCAGGATCTACTCTTTTGGTCAAAAAGAAATGTCAGTGCAGTTTGAGGGGTGTGTGCATGTGCGTGTGTGTATGTGTGTGGGTGTATATATAGTGGAGGACAAATTGGAGAACACTTATTTAACCTTTTCCCCTTTTCCTTTGGAAGTAGAAATAGAATGGACCTTTAGCATTGTTACTTTTGATGATCATGGAATAGTACACGGAAGGTAGTTGAGATGAAAACTTTGTCCACGTTTTGTGACCTGAAGGCATCACACCATTAAAACTTGGGTTTCATTTGCTGTTAACTGTTGTACTTGCAGATGTTTCTCATCCCTGTTGCACTGTCCACGTGATACTTGCTATCAACCTTGTGTTGATCCCAGATGATACCAAGGACAAGCTGTATTGCTGGCCTGTTTGGTGCAGTAACTTCTTAAACAAGAGAACTTGGTCTTGGAAAAGGTGCTTTTTTTTTTTTTTAATTTAACCTTTCTGAACTTCTTTCTTTTTTTTTGTCATCTCTTTAACCTTTTGAGACAAGCTGATGTTTGACTCCTTCTGCGTAAGCTTAGCAGTGTGTTCTCCTCTTGGTTATGTAGAGCATTCCCCATGTCAAAAGGAAAACCAACACCTTGGTTGTCTACTATCAGGTCACTTCCTAAACTTGGAGGTCTAGTCAGTAACAGTCCAGTGCACCAGTTTTGCACAATAGCAGATTTTTGCTTGAGTAACTTCAAGCTGTTCTCTTGGCATGACTGCATTTACTAGCAGCTGATGATCCACTGTCATTCTTATGGCACTAGGAATTAAATGCATCGTGTGAGCAGTGTTTAAGGTGGGAGGAAGAAGTTGTTGACATTTTGCCTTGCCTCCTGCTGGGCAGTTTGTGCAATGACTGGCTCTAAAGGGATCTATTTTTTTTGCCTGTAACTTACCTTTGCCTATAACCTACCTCTAGGTTTGGTGTCATCTTTATAGCAGCTTCTTAAAGACCAGAAATGCTCCTCAGGCATAAGGAGGACATTAGGAGGTACTGTTGGTACAGTGCAGTATTTATGACCTTTCTTTAAAATGCTTAATGTGAACCCGTTTTCTCAGAGGCTCTTTCAAGGTTCTTGATGTAATGTGCTTTACAGTGTAGTTAGACATCATTGTAACCTGTGTCAAGGCAGCTGTGGCTTAACAAAGCCAGTTTTGGTTTTTTTTTTCCTCTACATCTGTCACTTAGCTATGGCTTAATTGGAACATATCAGCTTTTTATGTAGGCTCATATGCTAGAGAACTGTAAATGTACACAGTAAATATGAGTTCTGGTGACATGATCAGTAACCCACAAAAGCAGAGCTGTAGTGGTTCGTCACCCGAACTCCTCAGTTTATTTTATAGGCTTTATTCCATTTTTCCTGTTGTTTTATATACTACATGGATCTTGCTACAAAATAAAGTAACAGTACAAAAGAGGAAGTGCTTCCTCTTGTGTGTTATCTCCTCTTCCCACCAGTAGTAGCTGAGGGATGATAGACGGATGCAGCAGCTGTTTCAAACAGCACAACGTCCTCGCATATGGTGACCGAGGAAGATAGATGCAGGACTAGGGAGGATCCTGTTAGAGCCTTAGGATATCACACTCTCATATACCCACTCTCCTCTTTCCCCTGCCATGTTGAATGAAGCTTTGGTTTGTTGTATGTCTAATCTTAAATCAGCTGCAGATGCATTTGTTCTGTGTTTAAGGAGGAGGTGTCTTCATTAATGTGTGCACAGGCATGCTGAACTGTTTTGCTGCCTCTGCAAGCTCAGAAAGCAAATGGAGGATACTAAGAAACAGGTATTTGCAGTATTCTTCCATTTGCTTAAGAGGCATGAGTAACGGATGTTTTGAAGTAGCAACTGTACTGAGTTCATGTATAGGACATCCCCTCCCCTAAATACTAATCAGGCACTGAAAATTCGTGCTCATTGGTTTCTGATAGAGGAAATATGTCAGAAGTAATTTTGTGAGAGATTGAGAGTAAGCATTGGAAACAGTGATTTGTAAGTTTCTATAGTTGGAACTTTCTGATTCCTACAGAATACTCAAGTTTTGCTCTTGGTCATGACAATTTACATGTTAAACCCTCACTTTTTCCTATGTTTGGCAACCAGTAAACTAACTAAATATGCTAGCTGATGTAGTTATATTATCTTCAGTTTTTTCACTGTATCTGGAAACAGTCGACCACTTAATGATTTGCTGCTGGAAATACTAGAGCTTATCAATCATTAAACTGATTTTAATTAAAAGTAACCCATCAAGGCTGTTGTGGGCAAAGCTCTTTTTCTTTGTATTTACTCATGGTATAAATCAAACAGTCTTTGCACATGCTGATGGAAATGCAAAGTTACTGAAAGTAGTTCTGGGGGGGTGTTGGTACAATAAAAACTCCCTGCACGAAGATGAACATTAAAATGTTCTTTGCTTGACTTGAAGCACGATAACCACTATTTTTGAAGCTCTTGAGCTTACTTGCTCACTACTTAAACACTGTTGACATATAAAAGACACTGGTAAAGATATTAAAACACTAAATAACTTGGCTATGATTTAAGAATCTTGGCTAAGATTTAAGGAAGATAGAGCAGAAAGTGAGTTGAAACATCTCTTGCATCCATGAGAATCAAAGCTGAATTAATGAAGGCCAAAGAATTAAGAACTTGGCAAATGTGTTAAGATGGCAAATGCTGGTCTTCCTTCACTGGCTGCTGGTGGATTTGTGTTAGGTCCCTGGTTTATAGCTGGGAAATCTGGGTCTGGCTGGCTTCTCCTGAGTGCATAAAAAAGAAAACCCTTGCAGTTGTGGTGCATTTGCTGTGTTGAAAAAAAAAAAATGCTCATGTATGATGTTAGTGATGCTGGAGACCTGGTACTGAGTGCTGGAAGGGGATTTCTCTTGCAGCACTTTAAAAAGAGTAAGTCTGCAGCTAGTAGTGTTGGTAGGGTGGAAGGAGTTGGTACAGACCCCATGCTTAACATACAGTACAGACCTTGAGGGGGGAAAGGAAGGTGTGGGTTTGTTCTGAGGTTTTTCTTAGTTTTTGCTGTGCATTCTTCAAATATTCCGACATAAGAATGATAAGGATGAATTTAGAGCTGCTGCTGAAGTTTTACTGAAATATGCTGGTAATTCAGTAGTATTTTTCAACTTCCCATGGGAACTAGGAGTTGCTATGAACTCCCTCTGCCAGGATCTTCACAATCAGCGTTTTGGATTTGGTGTGTATGCAGTGAGCACTGGAGGTCTTGCAGATGACCAAGTAGTGTATTGGTTGACCAATGTATTGCTGTTCAGAGGAAGGAACTGAGGAAGTTAGCTCAGTAAATCTGTGCTAAGTGTAAGAGATGAATTCCTGCCTCTACTGAGGAATATCCCAGGAAGGATCCTCTTGAGTTTCCCTGGAATTGGACTGTGCTGCTCCAGGCAGCAGGGCTATACAGAGGGGCTGAGCAAACTGCCCTGTAGATGGAGGTGAGTGAATTCTTCCACTGGCAGTTAAGACTGGCCTTTTATTATTCAAAGTCAATGTTGATTTGTTCAATGAAGTGAACAGACTGTTCTGGAGATCAAGATTACACTAAGTAATTGATCCATGTTTTCTACTCAAGCAAATGAAGTGATGCAGAACAGAAGCACATCACAACAGCCACAGCAGCTTTACAGAGGTAACAGCAGAAGTACAGGGAATGGTTATTCATATTCAGCTCTTCGCTGTCGCACCAAGTAATTTTATTACTTATTTTTAATCACCCCCTGCCAAAGACCAGGTTGCAGATGCTGGAGAACTGAATGGATTTATTCAGAACCTGGTTGGCCATAGTGACAATCGAGGCTTCAGGTAGCCAAGCAGAGACAAGTGAAGAGGCCTTGGTATGGTTGGGTGGAAGCTTGGGTTGGCATCTAGAGAAGGGTTATAGGGAACTGGGCTGTTATTTATAACTGGCACTGTGTAGTTGGCACAGAAACCCACACTTGTACCTCTTCCAGTGCTTTGTTTTGCCTTTATTTCAGGAGTGCTGTAACCAGGCATTCTGTAAATTAATGAACACAGACCCTGGGTGCTTTTTGACAGGAAAGAACTAGATCTGTGCAAAGAAAAAAAGCTGCTCTACTTCCACATGATAAAAGCTGGTGGGCTGTGAGTATTAGGAAACACCCTCTCACTAAACAACACACCTACAGCTTGCTCAGGCACTATTTCTTTTCTTGGCAACCTGGTATCTGTCATTCTCAAATATGAAGAGAATTAGGCAGCATTTCCTTGAACTTTGCATTGCAGATGGGTTTTGTAACTATGCTAAATTAGTTGCCTCCTTGGAGTTAAAGGGGATTATTTGCTCATTTGAGATCTTGAAGTTGTTATTAGCATTTTTAATAAAGTATCAGTGCTAAGGCAAACATTGACACAAATATATATCAAGGCCTTTTGACCTTTCAGTGAAGGTACCCCAGCTGAATAAAAGGAGTTACATGACCTCTTGCCTTTTCTTGCAACATCCTTGGGCGGCTCTAATAACTGCTTATGTCAAAAAGTAATATTAGAAAGTATTTAATGTATTTTTAGATTGTCTAATGCAACCTGGCTGACAAAGAAGAGCCAGTGCCATGTGACCAGCTCTCTACAGACATTGGGAGATGTGATGCAAACTACGTTCTGGGAACATCAGATTTGATTTTGAGGCCATGTGTGAAGCTGGAAATTTCCAAGTGATGCAAATTCTTGCCAGAGTTAGGTAAATGAAGACTTAAAATCTTAACAGACTGTCAGCAGGGTACCAGACCTTTGCACACCAACAGTGAAGCTCCCTGAAAGGAACCTTAAAGGTCGTCCAGTTCCAACCTCCCACACAGGCAGGGACACCTTCCACTAGGGCAGGTTGTTTCAAGCCCTGTCCAACCTGGCCTTGAACACTGCCAGGGATGGGGCAGCCACAGCTTCTCTGGGCAACCTGTGCCAGTGTCTTGCCATTCTAGGCCACCTAGAACTTCTTCCTAATGTCTAATCTAAATTTCCCCTCTTGTAGCTTAAAGCCATTCCTCCTTATGCTGTCACTGCTTGCCATTGTCAAAAGCCCCTCTCCAAGGTTTCTTGCTAGCCCCTTTAGGTACTGGAAGCTGCTGTAGGGTCTCCCTGGAGCCTTCTTCAGGATGAACAGCCCCAACTTTCTCAACCTGTCTCCATAGAAGATAGTGCAATTTGCAGTTTGATTTTGACCTTTTCAATTGTGAAATAAGGGTTCAGTACAGTTCATTATGCCTTGTAAGGCATGTACACTGCTGCAGCATGTGACCCCAGTGTGCCAATACCACAGCCAGCCTCTGACCCAGCCACGCTGCTTTGCTGCTACACAGCACCCAAATGCAGCCTTTCTCCATCAGCCCATTTTGTGTGTGTCTCTTCAGATGAACAGTGATTTTTGAGGCAATCTCAAGGTTTTGATTCATGCTCTGGGTCCTTGTTCACTGAAAATCGCTATTTAAGTTATTTAGTGAGATCTTTAATAAGGAATTTCCATTTTTGTGACAAGACCTGGTTTCAAAGGGTTTCTGACACATGCTGTTTAATTGAAAATAGCTAACTTGCTTACAGCATTTTTAGTCTCCAGGGAGTAATGATGCAACTAAAGTTCTGTTCATTTTGAAAGGCTTGTTCTATTGCTGGAGACTGGTCTGCTCTGTGTGATTGGCAGTTGTCAGTGACGGTTTGCATTTTTGCATGTTTCTGAAAGAAAGGAAATAGGGCCTAAAAGAATTCTTACTTTGAATAAGGGTTTCTTCACCTGTTTTAAGTTTCCCACAGCCTCTTTTCCTCAGCTAGACCAAAGGACGCCAGGTTTTCCTATAATCTGCTGCTGGATATTTGGGTATTTTGCTGAGATTTTTATTCTGACACAAAAGTGGTGCCAGTCTTCTGAAATACATGGAATGTGTTACATCTTCTAGGCTTTTCTATATCACCTTTCTCTCAGCCACATGATTTCTGTGTTGTAAATTATTAACTTTTGAACATAGGGCTATTACTACCTCTCTCTCTTCTGCTGCCCTTTGAGTTGCAGAGTTGCTTTCATTGGCAGTGGGCACTGAGGAATCACGTTGGCCACTTCCAGCCCTGAAATTGTAGTTGTTTATCCCATTACATGGTGATTTTTTCCAGCTCATTTCTCCCGAGAACCTTGAAATGGCTTTTCCATAAAACTAGTCTGTCCGCTCTTTTTCTTTTAAAGGCTATAGTCAAATTTGAAGGGATAATCCAGCTATTGTTTCTAGTGGTGTGTGTGTTCTGTCCTGATGATTTTGTTAAATTATAGAGGATTTTTATGGTGCAGGTCTGGGTCACTGAGAACTCGGTGATTTCTTTGAGCAAGATTTGCGTGTTCTTTCGGAGCAAGCTGACACACATCATTAGCATCTTCACTGATGGAAACTGTCCATGAAAAAGCATCCACTTCCTCTGTTTTTAATCTGCACAGCACTCCATGAGTTTGCAGTAAGCTGTAATAAAGGGCTTAGGTGTCTTATACTGACATTTCCTCAGTGGCTCACAGGCATCATCAGGAATGTGTACCAGGTGCATTTTCCTATATGACTGCCAGTTTTGCCTTCCTTTCTTTATAGCTGAGGTGAGTATTGTCTGAGATACAGAGCTGTTCAGTTTGAGCTTCCTGACATTGCAGTATGCTAATATTTTCCAACTGCTTCGGCCTTCATGTTTGTTATGGTTTGGGATGGCCAGGATTTGTCAGGGAAGAACAAATGAACCAGTAGCTATTCAGAACAAGACTTCACTTGCATTGAATAAGCATGGTGAGAAATTCTTTTTGTTAGCTTCTCTGCTGAGACATTAATCTGTGTTAAAATTTGCATGAGATGTGCCTTGGTTTAATTTTTCCCCTTCTGTGTTAAATCTCAGATGAGCCAAGATGAGAGAGGTGATTGAATACTTGTCCTCAATTGGTCTTACTCTCGGAAGCAGTCCCATGAAAAAGGCTGTGGGAAGTATTATGTGCATTGTCTCCTTGCACAATAAAGCAAGCTTTAACAGTTGTTGCTACCATCTTTAAGTAATCCTCTTAAAGCAAAAATATTTGTAGGTTTTATACCCAGAATGTCTCTAGTTTGGTAAAAGCAAACATACAGGAGAGATGTCAAAGATACCAAAGACTTTTTTTCTTTCCCTTTTCCATCAAGCAAGCAGGTTCCTGCTGTGTGTATTATGATTTACTGTGCCCTGTTCTATTGGCTAATATTGTCTTTAAACGTATATGGTAGTCAAAATTGTTTTGCAAGGGTATCTGGCAGTTTGAAATTGCCAGAACCTTTCTCAGCAAGCTCAAAACATTCAGCTGACTGACTTGGGAGTTACAAACCTGAACAACTTGCAGACATCTGTCATTGAGACGTTGAGGAAATGGCTGGTCAGGGCTTCTCAGGTGCTCTGACTCACAGCACTCCACAAAATCTCAATCATGTGATTTAGCAAGGCATAAATAAGCCTGGGGTTTTTTATAGGCTTAATAACACCCAGTGAAGCAATGTCATTTTGCTTAAGCAAGGAGTTGCTGGGAAGGCAAAACTTTGCTAGGAGAACGGGAAGGTTCAAGCAGAACCATCAAGATCATAGGACAAGTGGAAGGAGTGTGTGTACTTACGGCCCTGTCCTCTCTACAAATGTACGCTTCCATGGGACTTAGTGGTGGGGTTTGTCTGTGATGGTAAGACTGAATGATTCCCTGTTTGCCATCACTGCTGACTTAATAAATGACATGATCAAGATGAACATGTGTCTTTTTTTTTTCTTCTCCTTTTCCCCTTATGTACTAGTGAAAGGGAAATGAACTGCTGGGGAAGAGGGCCTGGAATAGTGACATTTGTATTCAGCAAGGAGATCTTTACATGACACCAGTGACATCGTTGCTTTCATTCACACATGCACTTTTATTGTGTGACTTGGTGTCTATATGCCAATGCCTTCAGGATTTCAGACTCATCCAGTCCATGTTCAGCACCCCTCCTGGCAAATGGGAATTCAGGGTATATTTTCGTGTTTAAGGAGGCTAGCACAAGCTGGTGTCCAAAGCATTTGCTGAGCCAGTACAGCTGCAACTGATGGGGTTATTTCCACCATTAGTGGCAATAGGTGTAGCCAAGGCCATTCCAGCCACTGTTGGGCTAATGCTGGATCTCAAGGTTTGTCAGATGCTGAAGGTAAGCCCCTGGGCGAGAAGACAGTGTGCAGTTAATGTTGCATCATGATCATATTGTGTAATGGGTCTTTCTGGATACTAACTCCTTGTTACACTGTTTTCTGTAAAGACACAGAATAAAAGATGGCCCTTTACCCAATCAAATAATTGACATCCGGTTTTCAGTCATTGTAAATGGCAGTGAAGTCCACTTACAGGGCTCAGGACTCCATACAGAAATAGCAATAGTGTCCTAGGACAAGAGGACAGGAGTAGCAGGATCCCCCCAGCACATATTCCCTTTGCAACAGACATAAAACTGTTGGAAGAATCACCATTTTGTGAAAATTGCACTGGGGCATTTATCACCCTGGCAAAGGGAACCATTCTTGTTTTCTGGTCAGCTTTTGGTTCTGTGGCCTGTTGTCCCACACATAAATTATCCTGAAATTCAGTCTTTTCTTCACCCTCTAATCTGTTAATCACCTGGACACTGTCACAGTTCTGCTGAATTCTGAGCTTGCTTCCTTGTAGCCTTACCATTTTTATTCACACACTCTGTGACGTACACATTTCCATGTTGCCATACCACATAAAGTTCTGGCTGGGTTTTAGCTTGGTTCCCTTATTCAGTCAACAGACAAGATTTTCTTATCACTAAGGTGCTCAGCCTTTTGCAAACTACAGGGGGTGATGTTTGCTTACGAGTTTAGGGGTTTTCAGTGTGAAGTACTCATTTCCCTTGGAGTAGAGGGAAATAAACCTTTTCTTCCTGGCTGTGCAGTGAAAGGACCACCTCATCGCCAAAGAGGAATGAGGGAGGAGAACTGCACTGTTTCATTTTGGTTTTGAGATGTTTGGTTTAATTCTGTGTTTGGGCGCTGTTGTTACCCTTTGATGGCTGGTTCAGGCATGAGTTTTCTATCCAGTCTGCTTTCCACTATATTATTCTTTTGGTTTGCTAACATTTACATAAAACTTATTTTATACAAAATAATCTATTTAAAAAGACTGTCCTATAAAGAGAATAAGGGGTTTAGTGCTAGCTGTATAATGGCTATAAATAGATAAAATAATTCCAATGTTTTCCAAGTTTATTCAAGCATGATTCCCTCTGCAGGGAGTTTTCTCTAGTGTCATATGTGTTACTAGGGATTCAGTGAACGTGAACTTTGAACTAAAAGACCAGTAACAAACCTTTCTCAAAGCTTTTTCCTGCTTTACAGTAGCCTGTGTTGTAGCAGTCTGGAGGGAAGGTGCCGCTGCTGGAGCCAGGCCATGTGCATAGCTGCATTGACCACAGTCACTTAAGGCTCCCGTTTTATAACATTTCCAAAACATCAATTTCAGAAAAATAGTTTCAAACACACGAAAGAAACTGTCATGTGAATGTGATCTTCAGAGAGCAAATTAAATGGGGTATAACTCTCTTCCCTAGTGAATTTGTGGTACGGCAAATTTGATGTCAGTTCAGCTGCCTGCCTCATTTTTCAAAGCCTTTCACTATGGGTTTTACATTTTCGGTTAAGCTGTTGCTATTTACAAAGATGACTTCCATGTCATTTGCAAAGCATGTAGAAGCTGGAGGCAATTCAGCATTTTGACACTCTTAATTAACTGACGGCCTGTCATGAAAGTAGATTGTAATTAAATGACACAGTAATTTTGGCCATGCTGCTTTTCAAACTATTTTTATATCCTAGCATAATAATTCAGGTGGCGATAGCACGTCAGTGTCTGTGCTTCTCCTTCCTCAATGCCTACTCAAGAATTGTTGCTTGTGGTTCAAAAGAGCTTTAAGAAAATAAATTCCAACCAGTTCTTGGTGAAAGAGGAAACAGAAAGTTAAAAGATTTCCTGTCACATACTGTGGCCTGTCATCCTGTTGGGGTCTGTGGAGATGCCATGTAATATGTGACAACCTACATGTCCTGTAAGAGCTGTTCACACATTCAGAGATCTGCAGGGTTTCTAGTTCTTGAAAAATGACTGGAGAAAAACAAAGGTATTTTGATGGCTGCAGAGCCTTGTGCCATGTTTTCTCTGGGATATTGCTAATGATTTAAGATTGTGTTTGGATTTAGCCCCAAATATTTTTTTATTAATGAAGATTATGCGGTCTTCATCTAGAGGGGCGGATGTTGAAATGGAAGTGCTTTTACTGGATAAGCAAACACAGTTTTATGGAGGTATTCCAGGATGGACATGTAGCTGACACAGCCTGACAGTGTTACTGTTCAAAAATGAGTGGGAATTTGCCAGAATCTGGTAATACCCTCTGCTTTCTGAGCCAGGTTCTTTTGATGTCCATTTTCTGATGTGCTGCCCTGCAGAAATCTGCCATCTATTCATCTCTTCAACCCTGTAATAACATCCCTTGTGCCAGGAACATCGTAATGCTGAATGCCATGGCTTAGACATTACTATGAATATGCTGAAGATTCTTGCTTTGTGTGATGAAATGATCTTTGGGGAATCAGTGAAACAAAAGCGTGTGTAGGATATCCTTTAATTCAATGAAGAATGTGGGTGGAGAAGCAATTGAACAAGATGCTTTGGATTTTCGCTAATGCCTTGAATATTTCAGAGTGTACTTAGACAAATTTGTGTGTGTGTGAACAAGAACTGCTCAAGGAACTCAAGAAAGCAGAAGGAGCCCATTTTTCTAACCCTCTCCTTCTCTACCTGCCCTCTATTACACCTTTCCCCTCAAATATGGGCACTGTATTCCCTGTGGCTGTTCTGATAGGGGAGAAATAACCATACAAAGAAGTCTAGACCTACAGGTAATGATAGTACAAAGGTGACGGCTTAAAACTGAAACAGGGGAAGTTTAGATTGGATATAAGGAAGAAGTTTTTTACTGTAAGGGTGGTGAGGCACTGGAATGGGTTGCCCAGGGAAGTTGTGAATGCTCTATCCCTGGTGGTGTTCAAGGCCAGGTTAGACAGAGCCTTGGGTGACATGGTTTAGTGTGAGGTGTCCCTGCCCATGGCAGGGGGGTTGGAACTGGATGATCTTAAGGTCCTTTCCAACCCTAGCTATTCTATGATTCTATGTGGCTCACAAGCCCTCTGCTGCTAAAAGCTGCTACAGTGGATGCCTTGCCTTTGCTGCCCTTGCGGGGGCAGTCATTTGTGACTTTCTCCTACAGCAGTTACCAGTTGCCTCTTTCAAGTGTGGTTGAACTTGAGCAATGTAATCTTGAATTGCTTAAGGGGAAAGGAAAACTTATCTGCATCTGCAGCACAGATGTGTGAGCCTTTCTTCTTTAAAAGACTTAGCTTAAAAAGACTGTATGTACAAAGGATTGTGGTTTTGATGCCCACCACACCCATTGTCATTAAGGAAAAGAACAGCAGATAACCCAAGATACTGTTGCAAGAGTGGAGCCTGCTGAACTCCTTCAAGAATAAAATCCCTTTTGCTGGAGTTTGACTCCATCATGCATTGAGTGATTTAATTACAAAAAAGAATGAGACAGAGCTTGAGAGTCATGTATGGCCATGTATAGAGCTATTCATTTATCTCCAGCACAACAAAGAAGGGAAATGCTTAAGATAACAATGAGCCAACTGCATCTACCACTTCCTTTCAAGTAAGTTTCAGTTCTTTTCCTTTCTAAAGAAAACCCAGCTCTTCCTTTCAATTCAGAAAGACTTAAGGGATAAATTTATATATATATTAGATCTAACCTTTCACATAAACACAGAAAGAAAAGAAGATATACTAGATTAAGGTTTATACTTCTGTTTATTTACATCCTCAAAAAAAAAAAAAACAACCCTCAAACAACAAAACTGACCATACTGGAAATACGTAAGTTCATGTTCATAGGCACGTTGGCAACTTTACATTTGGACTAAAGACTTTTTATGAAACATATTTCCTACCTTGTTCAGAAGTGATGAGCTTCATGCAAGATGTGTGTTCTCACTGCTTCTGCTGTTCCTCATCCTCTGCCTTCTGATGCCCCAGGAGTCTCTGGTCTCTTTTCCTCTGTGTCCTTTCTTCTCCTGCCAAGACTGGCAGCTTTCTCTCTCCTCCCTCAGGTTCATAGACCTGCAGATCTGTGGAACTGATGAGGAAGGAGGGTATAGAGAAAAAATTATAGTGCAGCACTCCCTCACAGTGCTCCACACTAATGTCTGTAAGGCACACAAAGATGGGATGCATCACTTTTTAGTGCTGCTATTACAGTATATACAAGAAATCAGAAGTAGTAGTTTCTGACCTTAATCTTTTCTGTTCCCACCTTGGCCTTTGTTTTATATTTAGGTGCCTTTCACATAATCACAGAATGGTAGAAGTGGGAAGGGATCTCTGGAGGTCTATAAGCTTCTGTTCAAGCAGGGTTAGCTAAAGCAGATTGCCCTGGACCATACTGAGTAAGGTTGAATATCTCTAAGGGTGGAGACCCCACAACCTCTATGGGCAACCTGTGACAGCGTTTGGCCACCATCACAGCATAGAATTTTTGATGCTTAAGGTGAATTTTGAGAATGTTAAATATTTTTTACAAAAGCAACTTAAAGCTGTCTAGGGCTGTTCCAGAAGGATGTGTTAATATTTAGGTTTGACCATCCAGGAAGAAAACCTGACTTTTCAGCTGGTCTGGTGCACAAATGGATAGCTCTGCTTGTTGTTGTGTGACTGTTATCCCCCAAAAGAGAGGGCAGCAACACCAAGGCTGTGACAGTGCTTCTCTAAGTGACAAAGCCCTCTCAACTCTGGCCATAGCCCTCAGCATGTCAGTAAGGGTATAACCAGGAACCTAAAAGCTAAAACCGACACCATATAAGATGCACAAAAACTTGTGGTTTAAAGAGAATAGAGAGTTTGCAGAACAAAGATGAATGAGAAGGAACATAGTGGAAATAAACAGAATAGAGGATTATATAAAGTAAAATTGATTGTTCCTATATGGGAAAAAAAGGGTATTAAGTTAAATTGTGCAGCAGAGCATTTATATTGGATGAAATATAATACTTTTAAAGTACTACAATTAGTGCATGGAACTCAGTTACAAGACATCACAGATTAAACCAGGATTTAAATAGGATTAGATATTTTTCTATATGAAATGCGTGTTCATTTGTATTAGATAAGTACAACAATGAACAGATTCATTTAATTTATATACCAAATCTGTAAAAAAATCAGATGGCTTTCTTGGTCATAAAATACAGTTACGTTGGGAGAAACAAAAGCAAAGCTTCTCACATCAAAAAAAGCATCACTTCAACACTCTTAGTAATGGGTTATTTAATAATACCTGTGCCAATATGATTTTTTCAGCTTGAAATAGTTTTATTTTGTACTTGATATAATTAAAGTTTAAATTGTAGTGGTTTGATTTCTCTAAAATTGTTTTGCTATTAGAATTTGCCTTGCATCTGAAGTGTTGACACTCGAGGGAGTGGGTTTCAGTTCACAAAACCAGTCATTCAAAAATCCTGTGCAAAATATCCTCTGTGCTACTGTTTGCTGGTGGAATTCCTTTCTGAAGTGTCTGATGGGGTTTGTTCTCAGCCAGCATACTCGGTAAGTCCAGCCTCTATGATTGAGTGCATCAAGCACTGAGTATGTTCACCAAAACCCACACAGATGCCTGAGACTGTTGCTATGTAGACTGACTTCATGAGCTTGTAAGCTCTCTTGTGGGCATGTATTTGGTCCAGTTTTGGAGAATCTCAATTTGAAAATCACCATTATGCTTCCCCTTGGCCATGAAATGTAAGTATGTTGGAAAAGTGCATATGGCTGTTACGAAAGGGCTGTCAACAACTCAGAAACTTCATTCTAGAAGCTGTTAGATATGCCGATCACTCCCCACCAATGTATCAAATGTAAGGCAGATTTTTTACACCAAACTAAATGAATTATAACTCTTCCCCAAAAAATGAGAATCTCAATTATCCTAACTTCCACTATCCACTGGCACAGCTACAACATTATTCCTGGAGTACTATAGTTTTTTATATGTGAAAGGTTTTATATGATTGAAGAAATTAAATCGCATCACACTCAAGTGATATACCAATATACATGGGATAGTATGCAAGATCAGGAGTTCTATGATTCTAGACCAAACTGTTAAATGCATTTTTTAGCCTGCTTAATCCTCATAGAGGTTTAACAGGTTTCAGCTATTTGTGAAGTACTTTTAGGTCTTCAAAAGGAAAATGCATATTTCTCAGCACTTTAGGAAGACGCAGTGCTGTAGATGAAGCCAATCTTTCAAGCTCCTATTCATTTTTGAATCTCAAAGGTCTTTTGTTTCAGTGAACCAGAAAGCACATATTTAGGTGATGATTTCATATCTTCCAAATGATAGTTTTTCAAGTAATCGTCATAATAGCAGTTTTCATGGGAGACTTTCAAAGTGGTTTCTTTGCCCTTCTTAAGGTCTCGTGCAATACTTACTCATGCTGTAAATAGAACTACTTTTACTGTACACACCAGGAGAGAGGATCAGACAGGTTAAATGTCACTCAGCAAGTCAGCTGAAAAGTGGAACGAGAACCTGTTCCTCCCGATTCCAAATCTGGCAGGTTTTTTGTTACTGAGCACAGACATGTTCATCTGGAACATCCTCACAAATACTCAAACCCCATGGGTATTCACTAAAGGCAGTTCCAGCTTCCGGCCAGACCGGGAATGTAATCAGAAAGGTGCTTAAGCATTACCAGGGCTTCCAAATACAGATGAATAGGAAAATAAGCAGTAAGAATTAAATTATTCAAATGTTTATTGTTTTCCTGTTAACAGGGACTACCAAATCCTGTAAGTTGACTTCTCGCTTAGTAGAGGCTTTAAAATTACCCAAGATCACATTTCAGTCTCAAAAACTGAGTCCAAGTAACAACCCTTGAAAAGTTGTCCTGGGAGTATTGGAAAAACAGCCCTTGTTTGCATAGATTTGTGTCTTCACCCTCTGATCTCTTCCTTGGAATAGCTCTAGCCCTGCCATGTCCTTGGTGACCCTCCTACCACAATGACCTCAGCTTCCTCCACATTCCCTGCAATGCTCCTAGGCTGAAACAGCGTATGCTGGGAGTAACGTGGCAGTGTGTGTATGCTGCCTGAGTGTGCACGCGCAGAGTAACAAACCAGCTGGGGCCACACAGGGTAAGTACCAGCTGAGCTGATCTTGCTATGGCTCATCCCTTTTATGTTTGGCCATGGATTGCCACAAAACTTGTAAGAACTAAATTTCCTTTGAGGCCTACCACTATTTCAGCTGTAGCAGAAATTGGCCAAGAGATCCTAAAGATATGGGAAGGAGGGAGGGGAACATAAAGACAAACAATTTAATTGAATAAATGTTGTTTCCTTATGAAGCTTGGGCTAATAAGCTAAAATGAGTGCCAGAGGGAGAGGAAAAGAAAAAATCAAGATGTAATTAAAGTCCAAAGTGCTTGCTCAAGCTCACAGAAATTTAGCACAAATACACACACAGATCTTTTAGAGCCTCTAGGCCAGTATCCGGAGTATGGAGAGAAAAGTGATGCATGTTTCAAGATTTAGTCAGCACAGACAGTAAAGAAGCTATTGCCCCCTTTAAATGCATAACGAATGTGAGTGCACTGTTGGAAAGGATTGAAATGCCATCTATTTTTACTCCTAAGAAAAAATGGCATGTTTAGAATTTAAACTGAGCAAAATAAGAATAGGTTTTCAGCATGAAATGACTCTAAATTGACCCATGCAAGGAGAAGGTGACCTAGCAGGTCTTTCTCTTTTCAAGAGATTAAGTCTTATCTGGTGGAAAACGCATCATAGATTAATTTAGTGCCTATGTATTAGTGGCTTTATTGTATGACTCACTGAGTTAACCTTAATATAGGAGCCTGAGGACATTTAGCCAAGCATTGGTATTGATTCAGATTGTTTTGGTGCAGGTATTACTTGAGTATAATGGATGAAGCCTACACAGAATTAAAAAAAAAATCCAAGATTCAAGGCTGATGAGATCACCAAGGCGTATAAAGACACACACCAGAGGAGCTGGACTAGCCACTCATCCACTAGAGGGCAAAATCTGGTCTGCATATTACAGCTCACAGTGTCTTTCTACGGGTGTAATCAATGAGTTGTTTTTTTTCACAACAGAAACTGGTTAAATGATCACTAAGCACTCCACTAGCAGTGGTGGGAGTAATGACTATTTAGAGTATTGTTTCTGTCAGAGCGTGGAATGCAATCAGTTACTAGCAAGCGTGTGGAAAAAAGCCAGCATTTTATTCCATGGAGCTGTGAATAAAAGCTTCAGTCACCAATGAGGTTTGGAAGCTTAGGTTCACACACAGGCCTTTTCTACTCGAGGTCTTACGTATCAGTAGAAGACTGAGTATTTGTATCAGGAACTATATTTGGGGAGTAATGAACATTTTGCTGCAAGGTTTCCTAATTGAATGTACCTTATCAGATCCGGAGACTCCCGAATGTTTCAACTGATGCCAGATGCTGGAGAGGTCCAGAACCTCATGTACAATCCCCTACCCAAGTCAGTCTTTGACCTTCTTACACTGTGTGTTCCTGTTCTTCTCTCCCCTAGTTCTTGCCATCTCCAGCACCTATGCCTATTTATTATCAAGTGCCTATTCTCTGCTCCCAGTAGAACTCCCACTCCACTGTTCAGAGATCAGGAGTGGGTCAGTGGTATGGACCTGAGAGACTGCTTGCCATGAGAAAGATGCTGCCTGTGATAGTAGCCAGAAACAGATGCCAGAGGAAGAGTTTAGTAGTAGGATAATCACACAGTCACACTTGCCAGGAGTAATCTCCCAGCTTCCAGCAAAGTTACCTTTGTATGCAAAACGTATCAAAGGATTAGCCTTCTCTGAACAAATCCACCCATCCCTTCAACCAGTGTAAATATTACCGACCACAGGGCTGCTCCCATCATGTGCTCAACAGCTCATGATCTGTGTCAGATGATGCTGAAGGGATCACAGGTTGTTATTTAGTGCCCAAGGAAACTGGCTTCTGCATAGACTAGTAGCCAGAATCCACAGCTACTGTCACCTGGTTGTACCTCATAGGTAACAGACTTACAGGACTGAACTCCTGCTTGTGTTAAAATATATATAAAACATTACAAATAATGAAAGTTAAATAATCTTTAAAGCACCTGATTTTGACATTTCCAGTGCTGAAAAATCTAACTTGTTTCTCCTTAAAGTCTCCTTAAACTCTTCACTGGTAGAAGGCTCACCAGGAAGCTGAATAAATCTGCCTTTAGCATACAGTCACTGAATTTGGAAGTACTTAAAACCTGTGATTGAATCACCCATTCACCTTCTTTTCTGACACTGAAATAGATTGAACATTTTCACTTTCTATCTAAATAATTCTTACCATTCTTCTCTGAACCAGCTCTTTCCAGCTTCTATTAAGGAATTAAGGAATTAGGATATCAGGCTTCAGGAGCATTTGGACCAGTACCAGAAAAATAAAGACATCTTCCTATACTCTCCTGTTTATAAAGCCAAGGACTGCATTAGCCTATTGGTCACAGCACCACATCACCTGCTCATTTTCTTCTCATTATACGTGACTCTTGAGGTTTTTGAGCATGAGAGCACAAATTCTCTCATCCTATAATAACTGTCTTTATCCTTTGGTGCCTGATTTTACATTTGGCTGTACAGAAATGTGTATTACTCGTTATCAAGCTGTCTCAGATACTTTACATCATGACCTGTTATTTATGCTTACATCACTTGCAAACTTTGTTAGTGATGACTTTATGCTCTGCTTAGAGACTTCAACAGAATGTAGTGTAGAACTAATTGCTACAGTCCCCAAAACCATATTCTTTGATGATGACTTCTCCCTTCCCCTCTTTGTATCTGTCAGTTAGCTAGGGTTTGAATAGTTTAATACATTTTGTGATGAGTCTGTATCATTTTGGCTTCTTGATTAAAAAGCCACAAGTTACCAAAACAAATATTTTGCAGACCTACTTACCTCAGTCAAGTAAACTTTGATGCCATTAAAAATCAAATTATTCTGGCAAGATTTATTTTCCACATTAATTTGCACTTAATGTGTTTTCATCCTTTAGTCCATTTTAATCAAGTAATGTAGATAATGTCCCATTATTTTACCCAGAATTCTTGTCAAGCTGGTAGGTCATGATTACCCTGGGCACCCTGTTTACCCTTTTAAAATATTGGTACAATATTTCATCCAATCCTGTGGAACTTCAACAGTCTTCCAAGATTTATTGAAAATCAACATTAATGGTCTAAAGATACTCTGTGCCAGTGCTTTTAAAACTTTTGGATGAAAGTTACCTAGACCTGCTGATGCCCAACTTTATTAGCTTCTGTTTAACATCCTCCTCAGTGCCTGTTGTAATGCAATGCGTTTCATCATCATCATGTGATATTCGTATATCATCTGGCTCTTCCCCAAATACAGAACAGAAACAGCTACTGAGCTCTTCTGCTCTTTCTTACATTATTGTTAGCTGTTCTACTATTTCCATCTAGTAACAGACTGATGCCATCACTAAGCTTCCTTTTATCCCAGGTTTCTGCAAGTTTTACCAAGTAGTTAAAAAAAAAAACTCATCTTTAACTCTGTTGTTCAGATTACTCTTGCACCACTTTGAATCCTGCATCAATTGCCCGTAACTCCTAGCTCTGAGTGTAGAGAGATTGTTACAGACACACATTTTAATATTAACCTTTCAATTCTCTCTGCTGCTCCCTTCAACTAGGGCATCTCACAGCTTCCCCTCACCTTTCTGACTGTGGTCTTCTCATTTGCTTCCCAGTTCCTTGCCTCCTGCAAACTGGAGTCTCCTCTTCTACATGCTCTCCTTCATGCCTCTTCCTTGGTAGCTTCTCATAGAAAGCTGGGCAAAGATGTTAAAAGACTTAAGAGAGGTGGTAAACTCAATACCAAATGTCCTTGTGGGGTACTGTTAGGCATGGTTTCTTGTGACAGTGCAGTAGAGGCTCACTGATGTGAGGCTGATTTACATGGAAGAGCTGAAGATACTTTTCAGGGAACTTGTAACTCTGACATTTGTATTGAATGTGCCAAGTCGAAAGTCATGATCCATGTCTTACAGCCTGGGTGGGGCTTGGGATCAAAGTATTGATTTGGGATCAAAGTATCCATACCCAAATGTTTCCTGTTTGGACCCTAAGCACAGGGAGCACACTGAGAACACAGGCAAACTCCCTGCTTTAAGCTCAGGTGTCTGGCGCCACAACTGCCTGGAGCAGCAACCTGAGTTTTGCTGAGTTCTTACTCCTCTACATACATTTTCATTGGGAGCAACTCATGTGGCAACCAAGTTACATATAGATACCAAGACAGGACGGGGTGTGAGACCATGTCATATGACCTTAACTCATAGAGACATTTCCCATTGCTCCTAACTCCTTTTTTGCATGTATGAGATGACACCTTGGAAAACAGCCAATTAAGACATCCTTCAGGTAAAAGCTCTCAATGCTTGGTGAGAACACATTCCAATGAATGGCTGTATGCAGAGGGATTAAAGTAGAACAAAATAATGGTAGCGATATGCCTCTGTGAGCTATAGTTATGTGGCAAACCTACACGCTTGCATGCATTTGGCCAGAGGGTACAGAGTGTTAAACTGCTCACCCTTTAATTCATTTCCCTTTTGTTTTCAGGCACATTGTGTGTTTAGCAGTCTGAGGTGTTTCATGAGAATGGTTTTGAGGTAGTAATTGTGTATTGGACTGATCTGTGCTTTACAAGCATAACATCACTAATTGCTACAGAGATAGCAAGTCGAGGTTAACCAGGAACGCTTTATGGGAGAAAATGAACTCCATCTCCATTAACGTGCTACTCCCAGCTATGATTGATCAGCATTTTTGATCTCCTCAGCTCTTTTCCCATGGATTGATGATTCAGTTGATTGGGAGTATCTCGTATTTTCTGCTTGAAAAGCACACAGTTCTACCAGAATCAATGAATAAACATTAAGTGCTTCCCTTTCATTTCAAGTGGGATGGGCTGATGCTCTTGGAGCAAGAAGGCCTAGATTTTATCACCGGGGCTCATTACACCGTATTCACTGCCAGATGCAGGAAGTTAATGGAGAAGCCTAACCTGCTGTGAAGTGATAGCCTGCGAGCGCAAAGACCTGAGGAGCGGGAATGGCGGTGCAACCGCACCAGCTGCCGCCACACTCGCCTTTCCCTCCTTCCTTGGGGTGACATGGCGCTCCGCCGCGGCGGGGGGGAAGCCAGAGGCCGAAGGTGAGGGGACGGTGGCGGTTCTGTTCGCCTTCCCTCGGGGATGGGCGAGCCGTTCCTGAGGGGGAGCCGAGGTGAGGCACTGCTGAGGTGAGGAGCGGTCTGAGGCGGGGTCCTACCTGAGGCGGGGGGCTCCTTCAGGCCAGGGACTCCCTGAAGCGAGGGGCCCGATGGGGCGGGGGGAGGCTCCATGAAGCAGGGTCCTACCCGAGCCGAGGGGCTCCCTGAGGTGGCGGCTCCATGAGGCAAGGCGGCGGGCGTTCGCGCGGGACTTTCAGATCCGGTTATGAACGGCACAACCTGTCAGCTTGCCATCGCAGTTTTGACACTGCTGCTGCGAGGAACGACCGTGTGTGTTTTGTTTTGTTCTCCCTGCTGTCTAGCTTTGCTTTAGAGTTAACGTGTCTTTGAGCGGATGCCTCCGCGCACATGCCCCCCTCAGGGTAGCTGTATGGCTATCCACGGGCGGCTGCGGGCGTCCCACAGGACGGGGTGCCCCTCTCGTGATTTCAAAGGTACTTCAACATGAAACGGTGAAATAAACCACCTACGGCTCACAGCCGCGAGCCCTCGGTTCGTCTCCCGGCCGCGCAGTGCCGGGTAGCGGTGGGTGCCTCCCCGCGGCGCGGGCAGCGGTACAGCCGCGCCTCACGCAGCCCCTCTGCCGGGCTGCCTGCGGCTGGTTTGCGGCCCCCGCCCGGTGCCGCCCTCCCTCCGCGTCTCCATGTGTGTGGAGCGGTGTGTGCAGGCGGGAGGCCCTGGCTGCGGGGCCGTGCGGGCTTGGCGGGACCCCGCGGCGTGGTGAGCGGCTGGGCTCCCCTCCGCGCCGCCACAGTTCCGTCCCCCCGCCCTGGGTGACTCCTCCCGCTCTCCACCCGCATACGCCCGGCGTTGAGCGGCCAGGCCGGAGGCGGCTGCGCCGCGGCCTGCCCGGCCCCCCGTGCCGCGGGGCGGGGGTGCGGCAGGCTCCGCACAGCCTCCCCGGCGGTGCCGCAGTGCCATGCGCTGCCGCTGGGGCCGGCCAGGGGGCGCTGGCTGCCGGTAGCTGCGGCGGCCTTGGCCGCGGAGCCAGCGAGCGAGCAGGGCCGGCAGGCAGTGAGGGGGGGCGCCAGCCTCTCCAGCGCTCGCGGGGTCTGCGGGGCCCGCCCGGCAGCGAGCGGCGGCGGAGCGCGGCCCCGAGGGATCCTTCTCGCCATGCAGACCCGGTGGCGCCTGCTGCCTCCCGAGGTGAGTGAGCGCCGCGCAGTCCTCCGCCCTCAGGCGCGGGAGGCCGGGGTAACCCGCTCCCCAGGGCCCTGCCGCCCGCAGCGAGGCCCCGCGGGCGGGCGGGAGTGGAGGGCTCCGACGCCTCAGCGGAGCCGCCGTATAGGCGACACCGCCCCAGCACAGGGCTTGGGGGGCTCCAGGTGCCCCCTCACCCCGCCGCCCTTGTCCTCCCCGCACCCCGCCGAAGGGAGAGGCGCCTCGTCGCCGAAAGGGAAAGGCAGCGATCGCCTTCAGCCCGCACCGGCGCTGGTCCTGCGAGCCCCCTCATCGCCATTCCCCCCCCGTCCCCGGGTGCTTTGACTGGGTGACCCCCTCGTTCGGCGCGGCCGGGGCACCTTTCACCCCACGCCGGCGATCCTATAGAAGGGGTAAACAGGTTTTGCTGGTCTTCATCGGGACTGCCCCTCGGGAGGACACCCCGTGTGTGCTCGGGTGCCGGGTGAGAAGAGGCTGTTCTCGGGCTGGCCGAGGCCCGCGGCCGCGCCGTGCGCACGGAGGCAGCGGGCAGGCTCGGCGCCTGCCTGGAGCGGAGAGAATCCCTGTTCCCATCTCGTGCCCTTCTTATGGCCTGATCCCCGCTCTGTCCGCGGGCAGGGAATGCGACTTGCTCATCGCGATGTGTAACAAGTCACTCTTGCAATGGTGGTAGTGGTGGAGGGGGATGGGGCGAGCGGGCGGGATGCGTTTTATAACATCTCTAATTACGTGAAACTGTGGTCATGGCTCACTCTAAGAATAACTGGCACTCTTGGCATGTCGGACTTCTTGCAGAGGTGGGCTAGTTGCTTGCTCATAAATGTTATGGTTAAATAGGTGTGTGTGATGGAGCATGGCTGAAGAACTGTTTTTACCTCGTTAACCAGATTGAGAAACAAGTAGCGGATGGGAATTGATAGACTTTATGTTTTGGTTTTAACTATCTTGTTTATTTATAGACAAGAAATTCCTGATTATTTAGTGACAGAGGTTTTTCAGGGGATTAATTTTTACACACATTTTCATTCAGTTCAAATATTAAAAGTTGATTGAATTCCTGCAGTGTTTTTTGCTAAGTATGGTTGTATCAGAAATTCTGGCTAACACTGCCCTCATTATTTTAGTCCAGGCTGTATCCAAAAGTGGAAGGAGCTCTGTATAAGCAAGTAAGATAATAACAAAAAAAGATGCTGTACTTGAATAAAAGCTTTTCTTTGGGCACCATTTGACTGCCTAGGCAATGTTTTAAGACATTCTAATTAACTTTTATTAGCAAATCATTTTTGATTGCATGGAGAGAATCCAGAGTTTTAGATACACCTTCAGTGGCTGACACAACATCAAAATCCTTTGTTACTGACTGAGCCCAGTAGTGTGCTTCTTTGTATAAAGTTATGGCATGTGATACAAGATGAGAAGAGCGGTCCCCTTGACCCAAGAGGGATGAAATTAAAAATCTCTTCAGAGGCTTGGGGAAGCTGAAATGGAAGCTGAAGAAGGGCCTCAAACCTCAAACAAGCTTCCCTCCAATTCAGGCCCTGCTCTGCACCTCACAAGTCACTGTGTTCTGACACCCTGTGATTGATTCTCACTGCTTTATGGCGCTTTCTTTAGTGTGTGAGAATGGAAGAAAACAACCCCAAAACTGCAGTGCTGAGTCCTGGATTGGGTGTTATTTTTGTGTGGTAGCTTTGAGTCAGTTATTAGGCTGGGGATTAAATAAATACTTTCAAACACACGTTTCAGGATCTGAAGCCTGGGGCTAAGACTGAGATGAAATACAGTTGATGTGTTTTTTTTTAGTTTGGCATAAAGTCTGACTGTGATTGTCTCGGGGAACAAAGGTAGAGGCTGAACAAAGATGCACTATTAAAACCTGTGGCCAAAGAATGATAAGCTTTTAATGTCTGTTGTTGCCTGTCCACTTGCTGTGCCAGCTTTAGCAGAAAATAGCTTCCTAGTTTCCAGGTTTATAGGCTGTCTATAAACATCACCTGACAATTATTTTGCAAAAAGATTAGCGTGAAGTTTTTCTTTAGACTAGGAGCTGGCCAGAAAGAAATGGATTTTGGGAAGAAGTTGTGTATTTGTGTTTTGTATCTCAGAAAAATCTATTTGATGCACTGAGATTCTTCCAAATAAAGGTGAGTTTCTTGACAGAAAATCAGATGAGGGATAATAGTGCATGGTTAGTCTGTGTGCGGATAACTCAGTGATCTCTTCCAGAACATTGTACTTTGAAAGCTCTATATAAAGGCTACTGTTTATTTTTTAAATGTAATTGAAGTCTGTAAAGAAACTGAAAGGTGACCTGCTTTAGAGCTCTATTTGTGATTCTTTGAGACTTGAACTTTGAAATGAAATGTGAACTAACAT